GATACTTTTCTATGATTTGCATTGAACACTACAGTATTGCCAAACATATGGAAATTAATTTCTCCACTGGATGACATATTGATTTCTTTCCAGTCAGAAATGACCATTATATTGGCAGTCAGTCAAACTTCTACTCAAGGTGCGCTAGACAGATTTATTGTTATGCACAAACCACCACATTAAATTCGCTCCCAAGTGCTTGCTGTAGAATTATAAATCCTACCCTTTAATTCACTTAGGAGCACAAGCTACTTCGTTTATACCCATGACCTGACAAATCTGGTAGCCACCCATGAAGGGTTTACAGCAGTGGTGGATGACGGAAGGGCAATGGACACCATCAACCTGGAATCGTGCAAACCATTTCACACTGTCCCACTTGACATCCTTGTCTGTACACTGGAGAGACGTGGATTTGATGGATGGACCACTCAGTCGCTAAAAAATTGGCTGGATGGTCACAATCAAAGACTTGTGGTCAACAGCTCGATGTCTAAGTGGAGAGAAGTGATGACCGGTGTTCCTCAGGGGTCAGTACTGGAACTGGCAGTGTTTAACACCCTTGTCAACAACATGGACAGTGAGATTGAGTGTACCATTAGCAAGTTTGCCAACAAGACCAGGCTGTATAGTTCAGTTGACACACTGGAGGAAAGGGATGCCATCCAGAGAGACCTTGACAGGCATCAGAGGTGGGCTGATGTGAACCTCATGAAGCTCAACAAGGCCAAGTGCAAGGTCCTGAACCTGGGTCAGGGCAATCTCAAGCATAAATACAGGTTGGGTGGAGAAGGGATTGAAAGCAGCCCTGAGGAGAAAGACTTGGGGGTGCTGGTAGACAAAAAGCTAAACATGAGCCAACAGTGTGCACTTGTTGCCCATAAAGCCAACTGCATACTGGGCTGCATCAAAAGAGATGTGACCAGCAGGTCAAGAGAGGTGACTCTGCCCCTCTATTCTGCTCTTGTGAGATCCCACCTGAAATACTGCATCCAGAACTGCGGCCCCCAACACAAGACAGCCATGGACCTGTTTGAACGAGTCCAGAGGAGGCCACCAAGTTTATTACACAGCTGGAGCACCTCTTCAATGAAGACAGATTGAGAAAGTTGGGGCTGTTCACCCTGGAGAACAGAAGGCTCTGGTGAGACCTTAGTGCAGCCTTCCAGTATGTAAAGGGGGCTAACAAGAAGCCTGGAGAGGGTTACAAGGGCACACAGGGACAGGACAAGGGGGAATGGCCTTAAACAATAGGAGACTAGGTTCAGATTAGATATTAGGAAGAAATTCTTTACTATGGGGGTGGTGAGGCACTGGAACAGGTTAGCCAGAGAGGTAGTGGACTCCTCACCCTTGGAGGTGTTCAGGACCAGGCTGGATGGGGCTTTGAGTAACCTGGTCTAGTAGAAGATGTCCCTGCCCATTGCAGGGGTTTTAGAACTAGACGATCTTTAAGGTCCCTTCCAGCTCTAACCATGCAATGATTCTATGATTCTGTGTACCAAGCCCCTGTGCCAGTGCTTACCTGCATTGCTATGATTTGATTGCCTATTTTTAACCAAGGTACAGTACAGAACCTCTGCCTTAACTGTACTATAAAACTGCAATTCAGCAGCAATGTGAGTCAGACATGTTTTGCTAGGAAGAGCTGTCCCAGAACACTCTCCCAGCGATGTCTTTGATCCTTCCCTCAGCTACAAACCCCTTCTGACCATTCTCTCCCTTTTTCTCTCCCATAAGGCTTCAGAGCCTAAGCCAAGCACTATGGAATCTGAGTTTCACAGCGTATTTGAAGGAGAAGGCTACTTAGCACCTATAAACTACTCCTTCCACAACTCTTGGGGTCGACTCTCTTTCTAAAATCTTCCTCATTAGTCCTTCTAACCTTGATTTTCCTATTGTCAGCTCCCTTTTGCACTACAACCCCACCATCTGAGAGGGGGATGACATCAAAGGATGATGACTGGCTGGAATTGACCAAGATTTGACATGTTTTGCAGTGTTATTGCAGAATGCAATGCCTTCCCCTTCGCTTCTCAAAATGCAAAGTTACAGCACCAAAAGCCACACTGTGAGTACAGAATAGAGCATACGAAAGTGTATCCACGACTGCCAGAAAAAAAATGTCATTTGCATAACCAGCCATGGGGAAAGTGTTCATCAAAAAGAAACATTATTTTCCTGATACCAATCTGCAAATGTTAAAATATAAGCTGCCAAGCAGTATCAGCAGCACTGATTTGACTGAATGTATTGGCAAGGATAAAGAAATGTGAATCATTCACTTAATAGGTATCCCACATCAGCCCGAAAGACTTCTGAAGCAGAAGTTTGTTGCTGAAGGCATTTTTGTTATTTTGAAGACAGAAGCTGCTTGATGACCATGTGAAAAACACAATGAACTTCTCTGGGTTTAAGACAGATATTAAAATCAAACTTTAAAGTAGTTTAAACAACACAGAGGAAGTTCCCCAATGATTCATTCTTCCATGACAGGAATAGTTAATGAAACAGTTACAAAAGGCAGTACAGCTTATTAATGTGGGACTGGAGAATCTGTTAGGGTTACATTCTGTAAATCCCTTGCAGAGAAGGAGTCAAACACAGGTTTTGTTTCACTTAGAAGGTGATGCCCTAATGAACTGACAAAGATGTTAAGTATATCAATTAATGAAAAAGAACATCTGCTCTTTTTTAAGAACAGAAAAGGCACTTTTACCTAAAAGTAAGCCAGATTTTCAATCAGCAAAGTCATCTTTCCTTGAATGCCACATACACTCACTGCCAGTCTAGGGTCATTAGAGCAGTTTGTGAAACTGGAGCAATGTCTGAGAGAATTACTACAGTTATTTGTCATTGCTGCTAACCAGTTTTAAAACATTATCTGTCACAAATAGGAGAAATGGATAAAAAAAGTATTGCAGCAATATATGTAAAAATATATGTAAAAAACCCAAACCAAAACAAAGAAACTCAAACAAAACAAACAAACCCCCACAACTAAGATAACCACAGCAAAATGAAATGCAAAGTCTCTGCAGAAGCACACATTCAAGCTGTCAATACCTGAAAACCTAGCAATGAAACCATGAACAGCAAGCTGCTTTTGCACTACGCAAGCGAAATTCAATACTGAGGATCCAGACAACTCCTCGAGAAATAAAGGCAATTACAATTTAACACCACTTGTAAATACCACCCCTGTAAGTCACAGAAAGGTAACAAAAGCAACATAGGTCTTGATGCTGACACAAGAACCTCTCTATAAGAGCACAGGCTTTGGGTTAAATGAGATGAAGTGCAATTATCATCAAGTTATAATCGAAAACGAGATGGACCACAGCTATCTAATGCTTGTCTGCTACACATTTGTAACAAACAGGACAGCACACACTTGCAATTACCCTCATTCTTTCAATGCCCCTTGGTGACCAACTCTGAAGCTGTTGATTACCTAAGAGGAAAACACTGATTCTCTGAAACCAAGCTTTCTCCTAGGAATGTGCTTGATTTAACTGAACTCCAGAACAACATGAGTGTGCACAGGAAACCAAGAGACCTGCACATCCCAGAAAACAACCTTGCAATCAGTGTGCCAGTCCAAGTACAAGTGTATAGAGGACTGACTGAACAACTGAGCTTGAGTCAGTCCTATTGTACCCACTGCACCTACCATACCACATTTGATTTACAACTGTGAAAAAAACATCAAGGGGAAAGATTTAAGACAGAGAAACAAGGTCATACCCTATAGACCAGTGATGGAAAATAAGGGACTAGGTGTGCCAAATGCCTGCTCCTTTTATTTCTACAAAGCATTAATACTTTAATACTAGGCATCAAGTGCCTTTCCACAGAATTGAGCAGCTCAAGGCCTAATTAGGATGAAAAACCTCAGCACAGGACTCTTAAGCTCAAGCTGTTCTATGAATATCCACTTCACCGTTATCAAAGCAGCCTCAATGAACTTCATTTCCCACCCCACAAATAACTGGGGGAAAAAAAATACTAAACGCCTCAAAAACATAATGAGAAGAAAAAACTCCAGCCCTGCTTCACACTGGTGATGAATATTTTGAAAATCCCTTCACCTATGTGTCAAATACAATAAATAATTACATGTCTGGAAAAAGTTAAGGTTCAAAGTCAAACTCAATGAGGCAATGAGAATAAGTATTATAAGATGCTGAATCTCAATTTACACAGATGTAAAGTAACTTGCATTTTTCTTTCCATGAGCTCTGAGAACTTACAGTATTTTGCTATCAATGTTCAAGAAAGCAAGAAATAAGATGTCTCGTACTTAGGAGCCTTACTTGAGATTCCCAGGTTAATGCTTTCAGCCCAAAGCAAAGGAAAAACATGTAGAGTTCAGAAAGTCCCTCAAATGGTAATCTTGTTTTAGAAGTACACACCTGAGTACAGCAAGTTTTGAGCAATTATGGCATAAGAGTACAAAAGAGTAGGGAAAAAAAAAAGGATTTGATTTAGATGCGTCATTCTCTTAGGGGCAGATCAACAGGACATTTAGAAGTTGCCTTTACCGAAACACAATCTCTGTATTCCAGGCCTAGTTTTGTACATCTTTCTTGTCTAGAATACAGTGGGCTGGGAAGGGGCCTCTGTACAACACCTGACCTCCCTAGTGCCTGTTTGGTCTTTGCCACTGATGAAAGAACACAAATTTTATTTATTTCCACTCTTCGAGATGTTTACTCTTAAACTGAGTAATTTTTTGAGTGCAACTCTCACATAAGTGTAGGTTTGATAAACCTAGAATCCAACACAACTTTCCTTCTTCCTCACTTAAGAAATCAGAACCTAACTTAAAACTGCAGGATCATTGAACTATCCATTCATTTTTTAAGCTACCAGTACATGAAATACTTCAAACAGCAAAACAGACAAGAACAAATAAAATGTCAAGTACCCACAGGCTACAACTGGTGATTGTTATCTCCTCGCTGATAGGCAGAGAGGCCAACATGCAATCAGCATACCTGCTCCAACTTCTTTTTCTTCTTCTTCAATGTTGTTTTTGATACTGTCGTACTCCTCATCGATTGCCTGGTTGCCACGCATTTGAGACAGAATTCTCCGTGCTCTCTGTGTCTGGCCTTTCTGAATGAGCCAGCGGGGACTTTCGGGAAGAAAGAGGAATCCAAGAAACTGTATAACTGCTGGAACAGCCGACAGGCCCAGCATGTACCTGGAAATAAGTAAGCAAATAAATAAATATCTAACATGTGCCTATAAAAACATACAATGAGAAGATCGAGTTACAGCTACTCAAACTGTAATTTACAAATCAAACCCTCCTCTTCTGGTATTCTTTCTTATCATAAGGAGGCAAGAATCAGATTCTGCAAGTATTTTAGAAAACATGACTCTTCTTTCACTCCTAGGAAATCTCAAGAGCATGCTGACTATTCAGCCACTACCAACTCTACAGCTACAGGTCCTGAGGACACTGAGTCAGGCTAAATAAAAGCCTTGAAATATTCCAGTAGTTTGAAAACTGGTAAACCCTTCAGTAAAGACAATCAACAGAAAGAGAAGGCAAAGGCACAGAGAACAAATGGGTACTGCTGACTGCAAAAGTAAGACTGAAATCCTGCTATTTCACAGACATATTAAAAAACACTAAACCCCCAAACCAGACAAAGAAAATGCACAGTTTAGTCAGTAATACGTATACACAGACACATGTGTCCATTTTACTTTTGTAAATTTCTGACTATAAGCAGAAACACTGAAAATCGTTTCACCAGCACTGCAATTTACATCAGGTCTTTAGAGAATCTGCTCTTAAATCTTCAGTCAGCTGCAAAGTTAGGTTTTAAATCGAAACCTCATTTTAGATGCTCAAGGGGTTACTACATTCAGCATTAAGACTAGTTCTTGACTCAACAGAAAATTACCATTGGTCAGAGAACTATGCTTCCAAGGATCAGCACTGACACCTGTGACAACACCCAGGGATACCATTATTCACTCCACCTAAATCAGGGGAAAAGCCTGTGGAAGACAAGCATACCACAATTTTCATGGGTGGTCCTAGTCCATGGACTTGACATTTTAATTACTATTCCTTCAATAAAACAGTAAGAAAAATAACAAAAAATGCAGGACAACGTAGAATTTTGTTCTGCTTTTAAATCTGACCTTTCCCAATTTGCACTTCACTGAGGTTCTATTCTCTTTCATTAAAGACTTTACACAGTGCTGGTGTCACCTGCACATTATTGCAGCTATCATGGGGTTCACATGAGTGGATCTAATCATTAAAACACCTCCATAAACTAGCCCTCAGACTGAATACTGAGGTAGGCTGTACTCAAACAGATTCACACCTTGACATCAGTCAGGAGATTAAGGAGGTTTGTTAACCACTCCTCTAGCTCCTCTCTTCACACCACAGGATGCATCTTTTCACATAGGTGATTTGGCAGTCTCTCACCTGGATGTTTTTATCAAGCATGCTATGAAACAAGATTGCTAACAGAGTAGGAAAGAGAGCACAACCTTGTTTCAGGGCAATGAAACAAATGTATTTCTCAAGCCCAAATGCATTTGGAGTGAAATTGGGAAAACACTTTCCTGGAGGCATTTGTAGGTTTAACAAAGAAAAATGTGAGCAGTACAGCACAGCAGAAAACTGGGGAATGGTGAAAAGAACACCCAAATGGCAGTGGAAAAAGGATTCTCCCATGGCAATGCACATGCAGGTCAGTCTTCCCACCCCAAGCAGAGCCTCAAGTTCTTCCTAAAACAAGCCAAAATTTCCAAAGGTCTCATAATCAAATCCTGCTCTAGAAAGAAGTCTGTGAACAACAAATGATATAGCACATCATTAGTCAGAAAAAGAAAAGCATAAGGAATAAAATAAATTCAAACCAGAATGCTTGTGGAAGGCTTATCAGTTGATTAGCCTTCAGCCAACATATCTAACAAGTGTCACTAATCCACTAATGTTCTTATTCCTCATTCTGTAACATTCTCACTCATTAACGTCCTCATTTCTTCCTTCGCTCTTCCCTCTCCACAAACATTTTGGTAGCTGTATACAGAATTAACCTTAACACATACACCATTGAGGCTCAGCAAACTACTGATACTCAATATCTTCATTGGAATGGTATTTAGAAAGCCTTTTCTATTTTAGAAGTGGAGTAAAACAAACCCACAGCGATTAAAATCAAAATTTCTGTATTCTGTCAAACTGCATGCAAAAGGATCTTCTACTGCATCTAAATAAGCAGGTTTATTTCTTTACACTCATATTGCTTAATTCCTGATCCTCCAAAGCTCTTCAGTCCCTTAAATGCAGCAGAGCCTCCAGAACCAAGCAGCTGGGTACCTGCAATCATCTTAGACAAAATCAATTGAGGCTCCTGAAAGCTTGATCCAGCCTGTTAAAGCTACCAGTTGGACTCTTTTGGATTGTTTATCACAGACAAGATAAAAAAGAAATGTACAAAAAATGCTACCTCACTAAAGCTAGTTTCCAATCTACAAGCTTCTGGTCAAAGTGGAGTACAGGGAGCAAGGCCAGAAGGAAAATATTCAGTTGAGAGTGCACATCCATTGCAAGTTCAAGAGTTGTTGCACTTTTCAGATCAGGCCATTCTGATATCACCAATTTGCAGTAAAAGCAGGCAATTTTAGACATTTCATGCAGTGAGCCAGCTTTCAGAAATCTAATATAGTTCTTTCCTACACAGAGTACAAGACTTCAAATTTGAAGCCAGATGTCTAGCAGACCTGAAAAAAACCAGTATGAAATTTAATAAGTCTGCTGTAACATTTCTCCTTCCTTGACATACTGCTGCAATACTATTAAGATGGCATTAGCAGGGTTTATAAAGCTAACCTGACATAAGGGTCAGGTGAAATATTTGTTTTCTTTTGTTTATTTTTAATTTAATATCCAGCATTTCCAAGAACAAGAGCCAAGAAAAAAGTTCTTTATTGTTTTTTGCAGCACTCCAATACTTAGCCATTCAGTCCGTAAGAGATATAACAAAGAAAACTAAAGGAATTATTGTAAGTGATGACTCTGGTGTAAACATCTGTGATTTATCTCCATGCATTTGCTGGCCACTCTTTTCAGGTGACAGACGATCTGTACTTGCCCCTGCTCAGCCTTAAGTTGCAATAAAATAGCTGAGGACAGTCAAGTACACAGTCCTCAATGTACAGCTCCAGCACCACAACTGAGAGTACTTGGACATCTGTCA